AAAAAAATGAAAGAAAAGTGTACCAGTTATGCAATACATCTTTTTTTTTTACCAGCCAAGGACATTTATTCAAATCTTATTCATACATAAAATTTCCTCTCAAGATTTCTCTTCATAAAACTACAACTTTTTGCATCCCTCTTGGTTTTCACCCCTTAACTCATTCAAAAGTCACCAATTTTAGGGAAAACCTGTTCTTTCAATTTTCTCTAAAATTTATCTCCATATCTTATACTCCCTATTACCAAAAGCATAATTTCTTTCCTACATAGAATTTTTTTAATTGAAATTTTGTAGTTTAATTTTTATTGAGATATAGTTGACATGGAACATCATATTAGTGTCAGATGTGCAACATAAAGATTTGGTATTTGGATGTGTTACAAAATGGTCATCATAAAGATTCTGGTTAACATCCATCATCGCACATTGAAAACAGTAAAATTTTCATACAGTTTCTGACCGGGAAATAGATATAACAATCATCTGAAGGCAGAGTCCGGCTTGGGAGGAAAGTTTTTCTGAATAATTTGGATAGATTTTTATAACTTTTTTCATTTGCAATACATATATTTGGCAAAGGACTCATATTCAGAATATATTAAAAAAATTTACAGACCAATAAGCTAAATACAAGCAGGGTAATATTTTTTTAATGAATAAAATACTAAACACATTCTTTACAAACTAGGATATTAAATGCAATAAGCAAGTAAAACATTGTTCGACAGTATTAATTCAGGGAAGTGCAAGTTGAAAATTGCATTAAGATACCACTACACAGCCACCAAAGTGGCTAAAATAAAAAGTTCTGACCATACCAAGTGTTAACGAGTTGCACCATTGATGCCAAATGTTTCATACACTACTGATGGGTGTAGGGAAATCATTTTCGATCAATATTTTGCTCAATATATGTTTATGTTAAGCACAGCAATGCCATTGTATTTTTAGCTTTAATATTTTATTTCTTTGCTTATATTTAAACTACATTTTTATTGTTGTTCAAGTACAGTTGTCTCCATTCCCCCCGCACTATTCCCCCCACCCCAACCATCCCCACCTCTCACCCTCGATCCTACCCACTTTGGTTTTGTCCATGTGTCCTTTAAACATGTTCCTGAAAATCCTTTCCCCTTCTAGATTTTATAACTTTTAATAAAACAAGTCCTTATATGTAAAATGTCATGGCAAATTACATTGGGTCACTTTTTAAATATTGAAACCTATTTTTTATTCTTTTCCTTTTTTTTTCTCCTGGAAGTTCTATTCAAAAACACAAAAATATTGTCTCCTTTTGGGACACTTCAAAATCAAAATTAATTATGCAAAGTGTCTCATGCAGGTTGACCTAATGAAATTTAATGAATTTGTCTTGTTAATTCTAAACATCATCCTCTAGGATAGTTTACAGGTAGAGAATCCATATGCTTACTTATTCTAATGTATTTAGGCAGCAATCATATCACACGTACTTGTACAAATGAAGTGTGCATAGTCATCTAGCAGTTTATATTCCTTTTATCCAATGATTCTGTTAAAATGTAGCTCTCTGGTGGAAATTTATTGAGGTAATGGTGATCCCAAAAATACATATAAAATCATGATATAGCATGTGACTAATACTCTGCCTAACAGAAATTTTTACAAACTTATTAATTTTGTAATTATCTCTGAAATGTTATTTTGTATGCTGTTAATTGCTTGTTTTTGTGATACTTCCATTCCCTGGTGTCCTGCCTCTTTACTCGCTCATGTTCCATTTCAAACAGTACCATTTCCTCAGCTAAGCAAAATTAATTGGTACCTCCAAGGGTTCTGGCCTGATTTCTCTGCTCTTCTTTCTCTACTGCTCTCCTAGGGGAACTGCATTTACTCTACAAATGACTTTAATGACTACATGGCAGCCAGAGAATGCTTAGATCTTGATTTCTAATCTTGAACTCCACTTTTCACTTGAGACAAACTGCTCAACATATCATTGGTTACTCAGACTTCAAAAATACATCCGTCCTATGAACAAATGTCACCCCAATAAATTTAACTTGAAAAAATACATCCAACACATTCAGCACTGTACTCGTCTCTATTTACACTCATTGCCATGTTCAGGTCCTAATAACGTACAGCCTGGACTATTTCAGTAACTTTCTCATCTCAATTCCTAATCCCTCTATGCATCCTCCATTTCATCATCTTCTCTAACAGCTCCTAGTAATTATCTGGTTTATGTAATTTGAAAGTGTAAACTTGTTTGTCACTCTCCTCCCTTTTCCTAGGATCCAAAACTTGCTCTCTGTCACCTATAAGATAGAGCCTAAGCAACTCAGCAAGAGTCTTGGACTTGGTTCTCCCCTAACCCCATCTTGCAGCAGAACTCCATTTTGAAATGTAGCCTCTGGTGATACCAGAACTTTTGTACTTCTTGGCATAGATGTTGTAGTTTAAATTTCTCTGAGTTTGTGTATAATGCCCTCTATGCCTCATGTGTACTCAACTTTATAAGGATTTGTACAGGCAGGTAACTTATTATAGGCTCAGAATAAGAAAACATGATTTAAACAACACAGATGTGTAGAGGGAAAAATAGAAGCCCTCCCCCCCCCCCCCCCAAACCTTTCTCTCACCTTCCCTTGGGACTGTTCATGTGGCAATCCTGTACTTAGGGGAACAGAAGAATATAATAAACTGCCGTCACTATGACAGATTCTGAGTCTGCGGTGTTCTACACAGATGTAGGTAATTCCTGATCATGGAGATAAAGAGTATCTGCCCTGACACTACAGAAGGGAGTAAATTAAAACCAAACCTGTGCAGCCTTTTGAATATTGCCATGAGGTAGACTTTGTCTGGTTTGCATATTATACTTTAATTCTTACTATATTATATCCTTCTCAGAATGAAATAAAAATTCATAGTTTCAAAAATATTGTCACATTGGCATCTGTGAGTTTTCTGTAGCCATTGAATCCTGTGTGAAATTTTTTTAAATATTTTATTTATTTATTTTTTGAGAGAGGGGAAGGGAAGGAGAGAGGGAGAGAAATATCAGTGTATGGTTGCCTCTCATGCATCCCCTGCTGGGAACTGGCCTGCAACCCAGGCATGTGCCCTGACTGGGAATCGAACCTCGATACTCTGGTTCGCAGGCCCGTGCTCAATCCACTGAGCTATGCCAGCCAGGGCCTGTGTGAAATTTTTAATAATGCACTTAAATTCTTGTTTAAAAATATGGTTATTCTTTCAATCTATAAAGTGATCCTTGAATTATATCACCAGTAGCAATGGGTTCCTCTACCTTTCTGAATAGGGATAGCACTTCGATATCACATGGTTGTGCTGTATAACATTACCTACTGCTACTGAAAATGCTGTCAAAGAGTTTTTATTCATTTTGGACCTTTAAGTTCACGGAATTCAGAGAAACATGGCACATATTTTGTTTGTTTTTCAAAGATTTTTTTGGAATTAAAATATTATATTAACACCTGAAAGAAACATGTAAAAGGTGTTTTTATTAATTAAGCCAAACTGAACATACTCTTACTATATGAATCAGCAACTGAGTTTTTTGGTATTTGTTGAAGTGAATTCAAAAGTTATCAGCATCTGAACATAGATGTTTATAGTGTCTTTATCCATGATTTTCAAAACTTGGAAGCAACCAAGATGTCCATTGGCAGGTAAATAAATGAACTGTTACATTCAGACAATGGCATAGCATTCAGTGCTAAAAAGAAATGAGTTATTAAACCATGAAAAGACATGGAGGAACCCTAAATCCACATTATAATGTAAAAGAAGTTAATCTAAAAATAATGATTTTTTTTTTCGGTAAATGGGGTTGAGTAGGCAAGGGGTTCTTAAATGGGGGAAAATGTGCTAAATGTAAAAGAAAAAACTGATAGATTAAGCAGCACTAAAATTAAAAACTTCTGTTAATCAAAAGAAACCACCTAAAGTATGAAATCAGTATAGAGAATGAGAGAGATATTACCTGGCATACATATTTTTAAAAAGAGAGTGAGATGGAAACCCAAATATGTAAAAGAACTCCCAATATGTAAAAATATCAAAGTGAGAAAGACAAAAGGGAATGTAGAGAATGAGAAAGTGACAATTTGATATAATTGTCATATACTCAGTATTGCTAAAATAAAAATGGCAACAATACCAAATTTTATAGCTTTGTAATATGTCTGCTAGTCTATGTTGAAACCCATCTCTGAGAATTTAATTTTGTGTTTGTTTCTGGAAAAGGCCCACCTTTTCCAAAGGTGCAATCTTCACCAATTTCTGATGCATTGACTTGAAGGAGTCAGTGCAGCTTTTCAAGAAATGCCAGTCTGTTCTCACTTTGGCAGCACATACAAGGTCTGTCCAGAAAAAGTCCGATCATTGTTAATATAGTAGGAATGGTTTGTGCAACCTCAATGTAACTTGGCAACCAAAGAGAATAGACTGGAATGCATTTGTGTGAACAATGATGACTTCATTGTACTAGTCAGTGGAGGCAGTAGAGGCTGTTGAGTGAGTATGTGTACTGTGTGGCCCTCACATTCAAAATAACTGAGTAGCACAATGGATCTGCATCAAGTTTTGCATTAAGCTTGAACATTCCTCTGCAGAAACTATCTGAATGAGTCACAAGGCTGCAAATATGAGCAACTGGTGATTGGCAGGTTCATCACAACAACATGCCTGCTCAGGCATCATGTCTCATGCAGAATGTTTTGGTGAAACATCAAATCACCCAGGTGACTCAGTCCCCTAAAAACCAGATTTGGCAGTTTGTGACTTCTGGCTTTTTCCAAAACTAAAATCATCTTCGAAAGTGAAGAGACTACAGACCATCAGTAAGATTCAGGGTCAGCCGATGGAGACTGAGAGAACTGTGTGAGGTCCCAAGGTGTCTACTTTGACATCATTGTCCTGTGTACAATGATTCTTGTATCTTCTATTTTCTTCAATAAAAATTTCTATTTTTCATATTACATGGCTGGATACCTTCTGGACAGATCTTTAATACTAAAATTGGAATTATACAGAGAAAATTAGAATGGCCCCTGCACAAGGATGACACACAGATTCAGAAAGTGGTTCATATAGTTTTAATAAAGTAAAATATAAAGAAATGGGACTATATCTTTTTAAAAAGCTTCTACATGGATAAAGAAACCATCCATAAAAAGGGAACTGACTCCATGGGAGGACATATTTGCCAATGACACATAGAACAAGGGTTTAATTTCCAAAATATATAAAGAACTCATATGACTAAATGCCAGGAAGACAAACAATCCAATTAAAAATGGGCAAAGGACCTGAATAAATGCTGCCTCCAAGGAAGACATACAAATGGCCTATAGTTGTAAGAAAAAATGCTCAGCATCACTAGACATTGGAGAGATGCAAATTAAAACCACAGTGAGATATCACTTCACACTGCCAAAATGGCCATCATTAATAAGTCAACAAAGAAGTGCTGGCAAGGATATGGAGAAAAAAGGAACCCTTGTGCAATGCAGACTAGTACAGCTGCTGTGGAAAATAGTATAGAATTTCCCCCCGAAATGGAACTATCTTTTGACCCAGGAATTTCACTGCTTGGAATATACCCTAAGAATCCTGAAACACCAATTCAAAAGTACTTATGCACCCCTATATTTATAGTAGCAGTATTTACAATAGCCAAGAGTTGGAAACAGCCTAAATGCCCATCAGTAAATGAGTGGATCAATAAACTGTGCTACATTTACACAGTGGAATACTACCCTTCAGTAAAAAACAAAAAAATTAATTCCTGCTTTTTGCAGCAGCATGGATGGAACTGGAGACTACTATTTGAAGTGAAATAAGCCAGGCAGTGAAAGACAAATAGCAAAATACTCAACTATAACAGGAACCTAGTCAACAAAACAAACAAATGAGCAAAATGGAACCAGAGGCATTAAATCATGGAACAGACTGACAGTGGTAAGAGTGGAGTGAATCAGGGATTGTTTGAAAGAAGGTGAAGGGATTAGTCAAAGTACATATACGAAGGACCCATGAACACAGACAATTGTGTGAGGATTAACAATGGGAAGTGGGGAGTGGTTTTGGTGGAGGGAGACAAAAGGAGAAAAAAATAGGACAATTGTAGGAACATGAACAACAAAACATTTGAAAAAAAAAAGAGAGAATTGTGAACCTGCCAGCAGTTAGGGTCTGCAGAAAAAGAAAAGGCTAACCTGTTGTCTCTTTTAGCTAGAAAAAAGCTGGGGGCAGAGCCCAACAAGCTCTCAAATGTCTTCTGCTAAGGAAGAAACGGCTTTGCTTTTCCATGAATGGGTAGATAAATAAATGACAAAACAACAAATAAAAATGAAATTAAAGTAAAGGCAGTGTGGACTGAATGGAAGGAAGGCTGAAAAGATCTGGGTCTCTCACTACTGCCTGAGAGACTCTGGCAGCTGGGGAATCGGTGGTCTGCCCTCATTTCATATCCATCGCGGATCTGGAGAGACAGCTGTGACCTCAGGTAAGGCCATCTCTTTACAGTTTTGGAGTCTATTGGAATCCAGTTGTGCCCTCTTGGGCGATTTGCACAATCTTCCTCCGGAAGTGGAGGATAGAGTGGAGAACACTTCACTTTGTTTTCCGTTGTAATCAATTTCTGTACTATTGAATTTGTGATGAAAATCTGATTTCATTTGAAAATATCTAAATCAGCATTCGTTTTTGTCATCCATTCACAATATAATTCCCTTGAAAATACACATTTTATGGAAATTCCATCTTTGGCAATCATATGAAAATAAGTGAATTGATGAATGATATAAATTTGCATGCTTCTGACAAAGTACTTTTACCATGATTAAGATATTTTCTTTTAATCACTACAACTGAAGAAAAGTATCCACATAATTTATCCTAAACATGTCTTCAATAAAATACTGTTGGAACCAGAAAACCTTGTAAGTATTTTTAAATCTAATTTTAATCTGTTGTGTGGACTTACCCAACTCATTTCTTTTCTGAGTCAGCCGTCTCCAAATTGTTTAACTTGATATCAAGGAGAAAAGTGACTGCTTACTTAAATAAACTAGAAAATTATTGATTTTAGATAAGTATGTTAGATAAGTAAAGACAGGATTCATCATGGGAAAGCTTCATAATTTTAGCATATTATTTTGCAAAATAAACCTCTACCAGAGGTATTTAAGATCTAACATCTCCCAAGTATTTAAAATATCAATTCTATTTTTCATGGGTCACATTTTCATTTGTTTTTTTTCTTAAAGGGGATAGAATTTAAAAACATTATTTTAATACAGAGTTTATGTAGACATATAAAATCATTCTAAAAATATTTTCTAAATATGAGTAAAAGCCCAAGAACACTAGGTGTTATTGGCAGATTAGTCCATTTCATAGAGAAAAAACAATTATTTTGTTTGACCATTTCAAGTGAATGTTAAATGTTTTTTTGTTTCTTTTAAAGATTTTAAATCTTCAAAAGATTAAAAAGGTGACCCTTTGGTTCATAAGCTGGTGCCCAGTCCACTGAGTCACACCAACCAAAGCTAACTGTTAAGTTTTATAGACTAGAGCAACCGTATCTCTTAGAGAAATAACAATTACTTGTCAGTGGCATCACTGTATCATTTGATGACAAAGGGCATTAGCTTTTCAGGTTGTACTACCACTCACACAACACATGCCCGCTTCCTTTTATTGCTCCTCCTCCCTCATTTGCATACCCTTAAGGGCCCTTCTGCACTCTTTTTAACTCCTAGTAGAAATAGTTTAAACAATAACAACAGTCAAAATAAAAGCTCTACTCCTGGCCATTAAACATTTTCATTGGAGAAACAATGGAAGGGTTTGATGTTAATCCCATATCTGCCTTTTATTTACTGTCAATTGTCAAACAAATAAAGTTCCACTGGCCTCTGAAGTCACTTCTGTGATAAAGGAAGTTTTTATGTCCCTTTTGGTATTAAGAATGTATGAGCACCTAATCAATAAGATTTCTTTAAAATGATAGACTAAGCCTCAATTTACAGTGATTCTTAAAACTTCACAGATAACATAAGCATTTTAAAATGGTACTGCAGAAGCTTACCTACAGAGTAACTGTACTGGTATTTACACCCTCTATGTGCAAGATTAGATTTATATTGTTACCCTCAATTCGCCACACTACGATTCTTTTAGTGAGGAAAGATTAAAAATGAGTAGCTCATGAAGGATTGGAATAGTTCTCTCTGTGGCTGCTGAGTGCCATGTTCATGGAGACTGATTACGAGTTTGTCCAGGAGTCTGTAACCCTGTATAAAATATGTGGGGATCAAAGGGGGTGGGAGCGGCTTAGTCACTTTAATCACAGGCTGCATGAGTAACACAGAAGCTGCTCATCTGAGGGACTCTCAAGGAGAAAGGTCATACGTTCATGGAATTACGTTTCCAAAATATTCTGTAGTCCATCTGAACTTCATTTTTTTCCAAGGAAGGCCTGGTGCGACACACCCATTGTTCAGCTCTGTGTCTACTCTGCCGTGCTGAACTGTGATACCACTTGATCTCCTTTTCTGATCCTCATGTCTTACTTCAGTTATTTTACTTTGGTTAAGCCTGATTCTCCAGGAATACTGCAGAGATCATTCATTGCTGTTGCTAACACCCTGCCTTTTAGCATCCTTTGGATTTTAAGCATCCTTCCACTGTTGAATGACTTGAAATAGAGGGTAGTTCTCTGCTTTCCACCACAGAAGCTTCAGACTCCAGATCGTCCCCATGCACTTTCAATACACGTACATGCGGGCACTTCTCTGTACTTCCCGGCATCTAGAATGCAGGCAAGGGGACTAAATATGCAAAGAGGCAACCGCCCTGGAAATTTGAATCTCAAAAAAACAGTACAAAAATTTCAGAATAATGGGGTTATGTGTTCAGAGTCAGTCTTTACCATTCATTCAGTGTTCTGTGTTGTTAGTATTCCTAACAGTATCATAATCACATTTGTTCTAGTGTGATACTGCCTCTGTTTCTTGAGGTTCAGCCACCTTGCTTTTTGTCAATGTTTCAAAGTTTCTCAAGCCTCCCCACAGATTCTGTGATCTATTAATACCTTCCCAAACACACAAGCTTTTAAAGTTTATTTAAAATCTCTTTTGTTGCTTACAGCCAAGGATTTTGGTATTAAAAACATCTTTGCAGATTAATAAGGTTTGGCTTAACTTCTAAACACCACACACATTGGAACTTCTTTTAGTCCTGACAAGGTGAATTCAAGCTCTTCTGCGTGGGTGTCACCTAAAGAACAAGCTGCATCAGAAGTTATATCTGAAGCTCCAAGAACTGATGGAAAAATTGTCACAAATCTAATATTACCATATTAGTTTTTAGGGCATAGCAGACAACCACAGTGTCTCAGATACATACAGCAAAAAGCATTGATCTCTCATGCTTCTGCAGGTTGATTAGGATTTAGCTAATTTAAGCTTGTTTGGTTCTCCTTCAGCCTATCAGTCCAACTGGATTTTGCCATTCTCAGTGGGTTGGGAGCTAGTCCACTTCACTTTTACTTATTCTAAGCCCAGGTCATTGGATTTCTAGGGAAAATTCTTCTTACAGTGTTGACAGAGGCACAAGAAGGCAACTAGAAACACATGGTGCTTTTTAAGGCCTGGGCTAGAACTATACATTATTCTTTCCAACTGTTCCACTCCAAAACAAGTAACTCGGCAGAGCCCTAAATCAAGGGCATGGGAAGTATACGCCATCGCTGACAAAAGGAACAGTAAAAATACCTGTAAAAAACATGAATAAATGGAGTAGAAAAATTATGACCATTAATAATTTAATCTACTAATATTACCCCAAGGTACATATCAACATGAAGTTCCCAGGATAGCTAAACAAAGCAGAACAGGCAACCAACGATTGACACCCAGGATTAAGTCACAGGGAGAGATGTATTCAGAATCCTTAAGCAATTAAAGAAGCAGCAGGTACCTTGTTCTTGGATAAATGGAGAGGCTTCGAGCGTGATGGATAAGCAAGAGCCTTTGAACTGGTTACGGAGTCTAAGGACAGACCGTCTTCAGTACACAAGTTAACAAAC